ACAAAAATCATTTTGGTCCGTGAAGTCAAAACCCATCCTCACAGCCCCAACATCAAAAATCAGCAGTTATCCTCACAGGTTTCCTCCAGGGTACAGTTCCTGCACATCAAAACCCCATTAATTTTTCCTCTGATCACACAAGCAGTTAGCAGACCAGAGGTCACAGTGTTACACTCCGAAATATTTCCCTTTTGACTTCTCTGTACTTCGATCATATTTAGCAACTCAAAGCAATACTAGCCAAAACCTTTATAACCAGTGAATGCGCTGCCTTTGCTGGAGGGTGAAATCCAAGGTGGGCAGTCCTCTCTACCACTCGCACATTGACCAATTTAGAGACGATAGAAACAAGTTTTTTTGCAAACCTCAGGTGAACTGTCCTCACCAAGCGCCATGACACAAGCAGGTGACAATCCCTGTCCCCACACACAAGGGACAAAGTTCAGTCACACACATTTGGCTGCTCACGTTCTCCCCAAGCGGCTAGTAATCAGATGATCAAGGGGGTTTCCCTTTCTGGCAGTGATTGGTGAAGCAAGGCGCAATCTAACCAAGGGACCTAGATTCTGGACTGTGGCAGGGTAAGTTTTAAGCGCCAGCTGGGAGGTTGTAGGCAGCAGGTGGGAGCTAACTGCCCTGCAAACTGTCCATCAGCAAACTGGAGTGGAAAAAAAAGACACACAAGGAGATTACTTTTTTTTTTTTCTTTTAAAAACTATTTTGGGTTGCCAGACTAACGTTTTATCTGCATGGATTCTGACTTGAAATAACTTTCTGATTAAGAAGTCACTGATACACTCAAATTCTAGTTAGCGAAGGAATATGCAATCAATCCAGCTGAAAAGTGCCAATTCAGGGCTGTGGATTACCTGTGACTGTGGACACAGGGCTTCCACTCCAGTTTTGGAGCCCACCTTCCCACCTGATGTTTAATTATTAGTTTAACCAGGTAAATAGACTTGGATGTCACAAACAGACCTCTCATTCATGATTTCCCTCTTCCATAAAGCCAGCTAGGCCACACAAAAGAAAAACGAGCCATGCATTAAGTCATATTAGTGTTTACTAACCCAGACTGGGTCTTTGAAGCCTGGCGTTTCAATCCTTACTTGTAACTTTGACAACTCATTCATTATTCACACACTGGTTTTCCATCTGTAACTCACACACAAGCAAAACCCCCTCATTTCACAGACATTTTGAAGATAGCCGTTGGATAATACAGATCTAGAGGCCCCATGGAGTTCTGCTGCATCAGCATTAACACCGCTGTGCCTGGAGGACTCCTGGGGTAGGTGAAGCTGCTGGAGCAGAGGGCATCTGCTTGGCATATGGTCACTCGGGGGGTGGCACATACCCACGAAGCTGCTCCTTTTTCTGGTAAGCACTGGGTAATTCTGATGACACAGAAAACTAAAAGACAAACAGAAGCCACGTTAAAGACCCCCCTCCCCCCCTCCAAAAAAAAATGCTTGAGGATCTGTTTTACAGCTACTTGACTGACCAAACCAAAGTGGAAGGTCTGTGTCAGGTTTTTGGGGGTTTTCCCCGAACTGAGTGAGTTTGTAGTGCTGCCTGTTTTGGAAGGCAGATCTGCAAGAGATAAATGAAGCTACATTATAACTAGGAGGCCACGGCATCTCTGGTCAGCCTGGAACTGCCTCTTGCTGAGAACCACCTTCTTTAAGACCTCGAGGAGAAGTTTGCAGCCTAACACCAAAAACTATACACACAAAAAAGGATCAGCACTGAAAATTTGATGTACTTTCTGGGTGGAATATTAAAAAAATTACACACAGAGAAGCAGGCAACATATCCCAGAAGCCCACCATGGATCTCCTGCTACACCTCTACTGTTCCCTCAGAGATGTGCTGAAGGGTCAAAAAAAAACCCCAAAAAACAAACAAACAAGCAAAAAAAAAACCCCACAACAACAACAACAAACAAACCCAACCCAGAAAAAAACCAACTCAGGCTGTCAACTGCATGAAGTTTTAGGAGAAGAGTACATGTTTAAAGCTGGTCCTTGGTGTCTCTTATGTTTTACTGCATATTCCTCCTGAGTACTGACCGTGACTGTCACATCTTGTGCCTTTACGTTGGGATCCATCTCATGCCACCACAGACCCACACCAAAAAAGATAAAGGTGGAAGAAGATGATAAAGGAAATTCCTTAGACAAAAAGAAAAAAAAAACCAACCCAAAACAAAACCAAAACCTGTGATGACACTACCAGGCCAGCTCATACGCTTTTCCTGCGCACGATTTTTCCTCTCGCACACTCAACAGAAGGCCCACCTCATTTGGGGAGTTCCCAGGCTCCCCTGCCCAATGACTGCAGCAGGGTTTGAGGCACAGAGAACAGCAGAAGCACCCGCTCCCTCTTTCAACTGCCAATGAGCAAATCAGTCATGCTGCCTGCTCTACAACAGAGCCTCTTCCTGCCCTCTCTTCCTCTTTTCTCAACCTGCCTACCTCTGGTAGCTTTGATTTCTGTAGCAGCACAGAAAGCCTGCAGTCCCTGATGGCACCTGCACCCATCTGGTCCACAAAAAAAGGTTGGGCTCTCCTCCGCTCCATCCCGCTTAGCTTTTCACTTCCTGCGGCCACCAGCAGCAGCAGAGGGTCTCCTTCCTGCCGGGCAGGGTTTGAAAATGACCCTTCTAAACGAGGATGCCAGAAGGCAGCTCCTGTCTCTTCTCTTACGTAAGAAGAGCTCCTGCCACAGACAGCTCACTTTTCTTGTTGGTCCAACTGCCCTTGCAGGCATCCAAAGCCCCAACAACTGCAAAAGCAGCTGCAAGTGTGGTGGTGGCTCCTCAAGAAAACTCTCTGCTTAGTGACACAAGCACCACAGAGTTTATGAAAACAAATTCTCAGCAGTTTGGACTAGAAAAGGATGTGAGAAAGAACAGGCAACAGAGGTTTTTCCTTCTAAGGGCTTTAAAGGAACACCTAAAAGGTACAAGCTGAAAGGACAAAGAGGAAAGACAACCAATGGCTGGGATTTGAGCAGCCTTACAATTTTAGACCATTACTCAAGGCCACAGCTATCATCAGCTCCCAAGACACAGGCTATGTCCCTTCATGGAATGATTTAACAAGCGCCAGAATTAACTCTGCCGCCCGGCGCGAAGCTTCCTATGACTGCAGTCTCACGGCATTGGCAAGAAGAGAGGGCGAGTGCTTTGCTTACGCTGCCAGCCTGCCACTGGCATCTCTCATGCTGCTTGGTGAGGGCATTGAGTTACAGGCTCTATTTTGCTACTCTCTTCCTGGCCAGCCGTAACCCAATCTCCTGACCAGAATCAAATTCGGTCTTCTCATCGAGTCATTGTTACGACGTCCTTCTGCCCTCTGATCGTTAACGAGCCCACTGAACTTACTGGAACAGGAGTTTGCCTGGCAGACATGGTTTCTCTTCTCTTGTCACGCTGTTGTGAATACCCCGCAGATCCACCCGCCCACACTCCTGCTAAAATAATGATTTTATTTTGCAAGCACAACACACATAAGTGCTTTGGAATCTCTCAGCATGAGAGACGTGACGAAAACTTCAGCTATTGAGCCAGCTATTAAAACCAGGCGAGAACTTCAGCTACAACACTGGAAGCTGCACTAGGCCACATTAAGACTCCCCACGTTTTGCCCTAATGAAGAAGCATGTTCATCTCGAACAAGGGGGAGAAAGGGCTTTTCACGTGCACCCCCGGCTCCCCCGCTACACCCCGCGAGATGCGGCCTACCCACCTCTCCCCAGAGACCCTGCAAAGGCTAACATGACGCCAGGAAGGCACGTTTTGTCAGAACCCCTCAGCAGAGGGAGCAAGCTACCCGCCATACTCCCAGCACCTACCACATGCTCGCCGGCAACAGAAGCTTTGTTCCGAGCTCGGCTGTGACCCGCACTGACCAGCCGCTGCCGCCCTGCCTGCAGCCCCACAAGGCCCGGGGGGGACACAGTAGTTGGTTTAGAGACCGAGGAGAAAACGGGAACGGGACGACAGGCAGAGAGCGGCTCCCCTCGGCAGCCCCAGCACCGGGGGATGAAGTAGAGGCGAACGGGAGGGTCTGGGGCCGATCTACAGCCCCCCGCGCCGAGGGAGACCACGGTCCCTTTAAGAGGCCTAGCAGGCGCTCCGGGCCCGCCGCCCCGCCGGCCGCACCCCACCGCCTCCTCAAGCGCCACCGGACCGCTTCTCCCCTCTCCCCTCACCACCCCCGGCCCGCCCGCACCGCCTCAAGCAGCCACCCTCACCCCGCTGTCGGCCGCCTCCTCCCAGCTCTCGGCGACCTCCTCATCTTCCATTTTAATTCCCCTCCGCCGCCGCCGCCAGCCCGCGCCCCGCGCATGCGCCGCCACCGCCTACCGGCCTGGGCCCGCCGCGCCTGCGCACCGTAGCGGAAGGGCGGGAGGCCTGGGGAAGGAAACGCATGCGCGGTGGGTCGCTGAGGGCGGCCACGTGCGGCAGGGCGGGCACGCGGCGGGGGGCGTAGAGCGCCCGCGCCCCCTGGCGGGCGGGAGGACTGGCCAAAGAGGCGGGGTGGGGGTATACACGCGTGTGACACTTGCACACTCACACCCCACGGAGCCAGTGCTTTTCTCAACAGCACACGCCAAGCCAAAGCAGCGCATGACAGGCATCAGCAGCGCGGATGGTTCCACGCTCAAAGAGCTTGGAGGTTTTGGGGCATTTTTCCATAATTTAGGGGTTATTGACCAAAGCAGCCACCCCGATTTTAGCAAATCTTGTCCGTTAACCCAACCGCTCGCCGCAGCATCCCTCCTGCAGGCATCGAAATGTCCGTGTGTCCTTCCATCACCCCAATTTGTATCACTTTTCATCTAAGCTCTCAGCTGCTCTTAAATCTCCTGAGGGGCAGGAGAGCCCACTTCAGCGCCAACCTTTAAAAAACAGCTAGATTTCTCAAAAATAAAACCAATTTATTACATTTATCTCGTTTGTAGCCGGGATATTCACCACACCAATGTATTACCTTGAGCTCTGAGCAATATAAAGGTATCTGGGGTGAGGGTTGCATTTAGTTTTCCTCGCTGCAAAATTAAATGCTCCTTCCAGTATCCTAAAAAAATCAAATGTTCGGACAGGGAGTTACAGAAACTGTCCTTAAATCCTTAAACTTTCCCCTAAACACCCCACCCGAGAGCTGCAGCTTACCAGCAGATGGCGACTGGCTTCTTAAAAAAAAAAATAAAATAAACCTCTAGGTAAAAAAAATCTGAAACAAACACTGTGGTTTGCCCTGGGCCCCTCTGCAGCCCCCCCACGTCTCCCTCTCCTCTGCCAAGCTCAAAATCTGGGCAGGGAACTGCCAGGCACCCTTGCAGCTGAGTTTTGGGGGGCTGTTTATCAAAAGCAGAGCCGCTAGCAGGATTTTGCGGGGCATACGGTGCTCAAGGTGGGATTTATATCCCGGGATTTCAATTTTTTTGGCATCCCAGAGAAGTGGGAGATAGCATCTCCCCTCCCTAGGAGAGATGCAGGGCTCACAGGAGCGGTGCGGGTGGGAGGAAAGGGTGCAGCAGCCTTGGGCTGTTCCTACCCATCCTCTGGGATTTTTCCAGAAGGAAACAGGAACTGTGTTTTCAAGCAGCCAGTGCCCAGCATTGTTGGCTCAATCTGTAGCCTATTCAGCATCACAGCGGCATTATTCTTGGACGTTTCCCTCCATCCTGCCGGTTTTGCCCATGCCGTAAGAAATCCAATTCACCGTTCACGGCACCCCTGTTCGAGACCAAGCGTCCCACAAAAACATGTGGGGGCATTGCGGATCTTTCAGGAATGTGATCTTAATGGTCATATACGCACACCTGGGTGAACACTGGGTTACTTACATCCTTGTGAACAAATTCCACATCTCCTTTCAGGTAATCCCAGGCCTCTGCAAGGCATCTGGGGCAGCCAATTCAGCAGGGCACGTGGCCAGGATGCTGAGCAGCAACCTCTGTCGTAGATGCAGGTCTGTGGAAGACAGAGAGGATGGCAGTGTCTTCCTCTGCCCCTTCCCCAGAGGAATAATGTCATCCACAACTTGGCAGCACAACTGCATGTCAAAACGCAGACCCGACGTGCCCAGACGTACATACCCCCATGGGGAAGGGCTCCAGCAGCACCGAGGGCTCCCTCCTTTCCTCACCTCCGTGGCGAAATGGGCACCCGCTGTCCTTCAGGCATGGCAACAGGTCCCATCTCCTCTCCCTGACGGGCCATCCTCACCTCGCCTCCTGCCATCAGCAGGCGGCCAGGCCATGGGGGAGAGGCAGGGACATGGCGGGGCTGCGGCAGGTGGCCAGGGGGGCCCTGGCCCTGTGGGCATGGAGGGTGTCCGGGCCCCAGCTGTGCCTCCCCGGGGAGTGGCTGAGGAGGGAAGCCCGGGAAGGGGCGAGACATGAGGAAAAGGGCGGCGGCCGAGGCCTGCGAGGAAGCCGGGGAAGAGAGGGAGCCGCCCTGCCACCTTCTTCTCAGAGCCGACCTCCCCAACATGGCGGCCTCGCCCGCCCGCCTCTTCCAACATGGCGGCGGGAGGGCGCGCGTGCCTCTGGCGAGACCTTCCAAACATGGCAGCCTTCCCCGGCCAGAAAAAGGCCTCTGTGCTATGGAATCGGTGGGGTGGGGGGGGAGAATTGACCTTCTCATCATGGCGCTCGTTGCCACGTGACTCTCGTCTCTCCGCCCCCTCCTCGGTCATGTGATGCGGGGCCGGCCGGCGCCTGCGTAGTGTGTTCTCCGCCGCGGCCGGAGCGGCGGCGGCGGTGGCGGAGGGGAGGAGGGAAGATGGCGGCGCCGGTTCGAGCCGTCACCTGGGCGACGCGGCGACCCCAGCGCCTGCAGCCCTGAGGGCCCGGCCCAGCCGCGGCAGGCGGTGGCCGGCGGCAGGTGAGGGGCCCCGCGGTGCGGTTCCCCGGGGCGGGGAGGGATGAGAGCGGCGGTGGGCAGCGTCCCTTCCCTGGGGAGCGGGGCGGCGGCGGGCCAGGCCCCTCAGGGCGGGACAGGCCTCGCCTGGAGGGGGCCACCCATTTGGGGGCTTGAGGGTGGGGTTGAGCCCTTCTTTTCCCCCCTTACCTCTTTTTGGGGAGTCTCTATTGAGGACAGATCCCCCCGGGGTATTGTAGCCCCCCCGCGAGGGCTGCTCGTCCCTGTGAGGGGGGGAGGCCCCTTCCCTGCCCACGGAGGGCAGCGGCAGCCCCGGGGAGGGGGGACAAGTTGAAGGCAGCCCTGGGGTCTTCTTCAGTGCTGGGGGTGGGCAAAACCTGCCCTCCCTTCCCCCCCTCCAAAAAAAACCAGGTTTCCCCCAAAAAAATCAGTGTTGGCATTGGGCAGTGCCAAGGTGCAGGCTGGCAGGGTGGGGGGGGACGGATGCTGCCGACCGTGTGGAGGCTGCGGGGTGCTGTGGCTGCCCTGAAGGCTCACGTCTCCTACGTGTAAAAACAAAGGTGAGGCTCGGTCTCCGGTTATTCTTCAAATAACTCCATGTGAATCCAGTTCTTGACTTGCATTTGCGTTCATGCCTCGTGTGCTGCTCACCTTACATGTGTGTATATATATACGTTTGGTTTGGTCCCAAAAGTGTTGTGTTAAATCAGTAGTGGTGGCAAGCTTGGTATTTATCAGCTCAACAGGATTTGGGGTGTTAGTCCCCATTGTCTTCACTGATAATCTCATCGGTGATTTGAGAATGGCTTTATTTATTTAATTTTTTTTTTGTCACAACGGGGCTGGGCTGAGCAGACACTGCAGGGGCTCATCTCAATGCGCGGGTCTCACTCGGGAGGATTATCTCATGCTGCCTGCAAGATGCTGCCCAAACCTTTCCGGGATGAAGTGTCTCACTTCAAGCCTGTTTGGGTTTTCAAATTGGGCAAGGCCTTTCTTAGGAGCCGCAGGAGCAGAGCCTTGGTATCTCGCTCTTAATAACCTGAACTCTAATTAATGCTCAGAGGAAGAACAAAAGAGAAGTCATGCAAACTGAAATGCCTGTCTGCAGTACGGTGAATCAGTTCGTTACGTGGGGACTGTGTTCTGTTTGTAAGATAACCTGGTTGATCGCTGGGGATGTCATTTGTATTAAAATGGCTTTAATTATCACTGCTGGTGAGACTGGATCATTCTGTAGGTCAGCAGCTGGAAGTCTTCCCCTTTACTAAAGGGGATATGAATTAAAATAAACTACATTTGAGATGCTGCTGACCTAAATTTGTAACCTGGATGTAATGATGTCTTTACCCACCCTGCCCTTCAAAAGCGAAGGAGCCCAAAGCCTGAATTGATCCACTGCCTTGCAGGTGGCCCCATGAAGCCCCAAATCGGTGATGATACTGCAGTGTCCTAACAAATTGCTTTATATCGCAACGCAGTGGTCGCAGCCTGGGCTTGGCCCTTCTGAAGAGCCAAATATCTGAGCTGGATGTTAACTGAAGAGTTAAGAGACTTGCTGTTATTTCCTCATTTCCGTAGCCCTGTGTGTTCCCACCACCATCTCTCCTTCCTTTTCCTTACGCTCATGCTGGAGAAGGGCCGAATACCGGTGGCTTTCCCTCGGGTTGTGTCCTTCAGGTTTGCCTTGGGTTGGTCTTTCCCTGGTGTCAGAATTGGGAGAGAAGAAAGCAAGATCCTGGGTGGGATCATGGGCTATTTCCAAGGCAGGATGATGCCTCTCTTGCAGAGGGAGAAATTACAGTTCTTACTGCATCGGGTTCAATCCTGTTCACCAGGGCTTTTGTATCTGCATGCTTCTAGCAGAATCAGAATCCCATCCAGTGGTTGTTTTCACATAGCGAAGATGTTTGCGCGTGTTTTTCCTGCTGTGTTACCTGGTATTTTAACTGATGGGTGACTCCGCCCAAGCAACATTTTTTCCACGGTGGCAAATGAAGCACTTGGGTTTGAAAGACACTGTACGGTTTTAGTATTGCACTAGTTTACAAAGCTGCACTGGTTTACTCTTATGGACTTTTAAAGGCAGTATGTGTAATTTTAAATTTTCATTTGAGTTTACTACAGCCTTTAGTCTCTGGACTCAAATTTTCTCTGTGTTTGGCTATAGGAGAAACCCTAGAAGAAATCTTGCCTGCAGAAAAAATGTTATTGTCCTGCCTCTGGTTGATATAAAGATCGGGATGGTTTATTGCCACTGTTGAACGTGCGTTACCTTTGACTTGGGGATTTCAAGCCGCTGCTTGAAGCTGCTTCATCAGGCACCTTCTGGAGTGAGGTGTTTGTTCCCAAAGATAGTGAGGATGTGCTTGACTGTCCTGCCCTTAATCTCAGGAAATTTAATGTATATAATCTTCATGTTTAATGGAAGGAGTGACACCAGCTGTAGCTTTGGAGTGGAAGGATGGGGATAGTCTGTTCTCCACACGTTCCCAGTACACAGCTGATTTGTAAAGGTCTGTTTTCAGGGCTTCGAAGAGGCGTTGGGTTTCAGCACAGCCTGCTTCGCCCACTGCCAATTCCAGCCACTTCCACAGGATGTGAGCGAGTGCTGCTAGAAAAGGCTTCCCACTTTCTGTGTAAACAGAGCTGTGCCTCTGAGGGAAGTTATTTTTCCCTGTGTATTTAGTCATGGCAGGCTTTGTTGTAAAACATTGATTCAGGCTTTGTCCTAACAAATTTTCTTAAGGTTGAATGTAAATAAGCTTGAAGCCCTTGGCTTTTGAACTGCAACATCGCGTGGGGATGTCTGCAAGGGCTTATAAAAGGTGTTAGAGCCAGAGCTAGGCTCAGATTCAGTACAAATCTAGATAAAAGCCTGTGAAAAGAGGACTCTGGTGGCCTTGATAATGTGCTCTATGGGTATTTCTCCAGGTAAGAGCTCCTTTCGGAGTGTGTTTTCTGACCTGAGTGGGACTGTCTGCAGTTGGTGACATTCCCGAGAGATGCACCAAGGTATCTGGGCTGGGCTGCCATTAACAGCTAATGCAGCTTTTTGATGTAGTTTAGAAATTCAGGTCAAAATCCCTTTTGAACTCGCTTGTGTCTGAGATTAAAGGAGAGCAGGGTGACACATCCGCATCGAGAACTGTGGCTTGTGTTGAGCAAGATGCAGAAAACGTGGATCTTGCCTTCAGGAGCTTGCTATTTCAAGAACTGCAAATGTTCTCCTAGAGCTTCAGTTAATTTGCATCGGACCTTGCTGTGGACTGTATTTGCTTCCCCATTTCTATGGCAATTTTTAAAATATTTAGCTTTGCTAGCTGAACACCTACTGAAACATCTATGACTTAAAATGTTTATTTCCCCCTTGCAAATCACAGTTGCCTGAACTGTATTAAGTAATTCAGACATACTGTATCTTTTCATATGTTTCAGATTCATGTCTGGCTTATTTTGTTCTGTGCTTGTGCAAATTTTGTAATAATGTGGGCTTTTGAAGCCTTAAGGTAAGTTGGTAAAGCTACTTTAATTTATTTGGGGCTTCTTGTTAGGTTAATATTGATGTGCTGTGGTAATGTTCCCTTCCACCACTGGTCTTGTCAAACCTCAGATCAGTGGTGACGGCCCTGTCAGCGCTTTGAGATGTGTTTGAGGGTACCCCAGGTCTCCACGGCAAGTTGTGTTTGGTGAAAAGATGCTTTTATTTGAGTTGATTGTGAAGGGACGATGTTAGGAGGTGTTCTGCTGCCAGGCTGCCTCGTACCAGAGATGTAAAAGCAAGGGGCTGTCGCTGAATGCTGCAAATCATTACCAAAAATACACGATAACCTTAGCAAAGTCCATATTTTGTGATATATGTTCTGCCTAAGCAAAGCTCCCTGTGAAGCTGCAGAAATTATTGCTCTTGCAGACAGACCGTACAGTTAGTAATGGCAAGTGACACATTTCAGTGGGCAAAAGATCATCTCTGGTTTGCTGAGCGATTTTGGGTTTTCTTGATAAAAAGCACCTCATAAATGTAAAAATCTTGCTGTTAAGTCACAGTGACTATGGGAAAAAACTGTCCATCCCAAAACTTTTTACATGGGGGAATCTGTGATACATATTAATCATTATGGTCAGCTTTTTATCATGCTGGAGAGCCTGCAATGATATGAGTGATTTATCTGCACTTTAACAAAGGATCACGAACCCCTTAGGTACAGTTATCCTTGTGGTGAGCTTCCAGGGGATGGGGCTGAACACATGCAGGGTATCAAGGCTATTAAAAAAAAGCATAATTCTGCAAAAGGCAAACATTTTCCATGAATCTATGTTTTTTCTTGTCACTGGTATCAGATGCACATTGGATCCTTTTGCCAGCATGTGAAGGCACCTGCCCAAAACACCTTAAATGAGAAAACCAAATAGCAGCTACTTCTGTACCATTGTTGTTGCATCCATTCTGCAATTATTTTGTTCAATTCCTCCATCAAGCAGCCACCTTTAATCTGTCCTGTTGAATGCAAGCTCTTCCTGCATTTGTTTTTAGGCTGGCTGTTTTCTTTCCTCGTCGTGACTGCTGCTGGGGACTC